CTGGAAGGGATTGGTCGAGACTGTTGACTTGTGAGAAGCATTTCCTAAACATCATCCACCTTGTTCTCAGCTGCATTTACACTATTTCGTCTAAGGCGAATAAGGACTTTTAGTTGAATTTTTCCCACAATGATGTGAATACACCTCATGTTTTCCATGAGTTTTACATTGTCTCGCTTCAGGATAACCTACAGTTTTGACCTCAGAAAGGACTCATCAGGAAATGAAGCATGAGGTCTATTAAACTATCAGTACTTAACCACCATATTCAACCTATAGTAACTTGAACTCTTAAGCAAGTTTACCTAATAGTCTTAGCAATATATTTAATCATAATAGAATATTTAAATATCAGTTTCTACAACCTCTTAGACCGTCCGCCCGTAGAGCGGAGCGCTTTACCGTTTCCAGCCATCTTTCTACACCAGAAGGAGTAAGATAAGCTTCAACTTGTAAACGGAGAAAGAGCGGGTTTCGATTAATCTTATGCAATGTTATGATTGTAGAGACCTTCATTTAGTATAAAAATGTATTATTGATACTTTCGTGGGTAGATCTCACCAGAAGACGGAGACGATGTATTCAGAGATAGAAAAACTAAGACCCTTTCTTATGTCCTGATCTTGCCACTATGCCTTCCTTCTGAGAAGCCATATCACATTATGTGTTGAGATCGCTTATGAAGCAAAGTCATATTTTCTAAAATAATCAACTATATTACTTATTTTTTGTTTGTAAGTAGGGTTTCGAGACTAGCATTAAATCAAATATATGAAATGTTGTCTCTATTTCTTCTTAGAGGGATAAATGAATTTGTAGTTGAATTTTCCCACAATGCTATTAGTATACCTTACATTTTAATTGAATTTAACATCATCTACATCATCACCATAAAAATAAATATGGTGAATAAACCCCATATATTTTGAATTTACAGGTAGGCTCGAAACCGTAGTTCCAAACAAAAAATGCGACCATACCCGAGGCCACAACATCTTGGTCTTCACATCTTCAAAAAATTCTTTACTTAGTGTTGTGAACCTGGGACTTTAGAGTCCCAGCTCTGATGATGCTCGTCATTCAACAAACGAGTGAGGATGTCTCATAGACTACGTTAACTTGAGTGTCGTACTCAATCCAAACGGCTTAAGGACAACCCGAATCTCCCATCGTCTTCTTGTGAAATCGTCAAACGAATCTCTTCATCATGCAACCTTCTCACTCACTTCGATATGGTTCACATCAAACGAGTAACAAGGTGGGCACTTAACACTTTACAGACATTGATAAAGACAGGTTCTCAGCATCAACTTGTAATTATATTTTACAAAAACTGGCTTTTGAGGAATCTCTTAATGAGACAATGTGACTCGGATTTTCATTTCGTAGGAAAATGGGTTTGGAAGAATTTTTTGGGCAGTTATGACTCTTTCATTTCTCGTGACCAGGACATTTCGTTCATAAATAAGCGTCAAACTTGCAAAATCAAATCGACGTCATTTAGGCAAAGAATCAGATGCCGCCAGATCCACTTTCGTGGCATAGATCAACTAGTCTCATCGGCAATAAGGTTAGGTAGTCATAAAATGGCTAACCAAATAGTGAAAGGCCTCATTAGGATCATAAATATGGATAAAATAAGTAGGCTTTTTTTTAATTGATGCTTTCTGGTTCTGGCGATTTCTGTTACGACGGTTCAGACAAAGCTTGCCAAAGACGCATCAGAGTCGCATGGCGGTGAGTCGAGAACCTCTTGACAGAATCCTTCTTCTGTTTATGCTGGAGACGATTCACGACTCCCTTTCAGACAATTTTTCCCTCTCCAACTTGTCACCTCTCCAGTCTACCGGAGGCGTCTATTCACGACTCTCCTCTACGC